AGCTCAGCTCTCTGCCTCAGTATCCTCCCCTGTAAAATGGAAATGGCAGTCCCTGCCTTAAGAAGTTGTAGAATGAACAGTCCGTGCCCTCAAAAAGCTTATAGTTCAAGCTAGATGTCTCAAACCAGAGATCAAGGAACTATTTTCTTTGGTCCCCACGGTATTTTTTTTTTTTTTTTTTTTTTTTTGGCTTAGAGAGTGAGTTTAATACGAGCTTAATATGGAGAACAAAAGGGAGCTTGTAGGATTCTTGGGAGAGTTAATTTTTTTTTTAAATTTTACAACAGTTTATTTTTACATCATTTTGTGCATTTTTTTTTTCCCATCTCAATTGTAATCCCTGCGGGTTTCCCATCACCAAGTCATCCATGTGCCATCACCATAATCCCGTGCACTTCCCTCCCCACCCCCCCCATTTTTGATCCCATTCCCCACTCCACCCCCTCAAAATGTCTCTGGTATATGGTTGTTCATTATTTTTGTTATTTTCTCGCCTGGTCCATTATACTCCTGCTATGAGTGAAACCATCCGGTATTTTTCTTTCTCTTTCTGGCTTATCTCACTAAGCATGATCTTTTCCAGCTGCATCCAAGTTGCTGCAAAAGACATGTGTTTCTCTTTTTTGGTTGCTGAGTAATATTCCATTGTATATATGTACCACATCTTTTTAATCCAGTCATCTACTTTTGGGTCCCCACAGTAATTTTTTTTTTATGATCAATTGTTTAAATATATATTTTTTCTTTTTTTTTATGATCAATTGTTTAAATTTCTTTTCTTTTCTTTTTTTTTTTACAAAGTTTATTTTTACATCATTTTGCACATTTTTTTTTCCATCTCGATTGTAATCCCCGTGGGTTTCCCATCACCAAATCACCCCTGTGCCACCACCATGGTCCCGTGCATTTCCCTCCCTTTTCCCCACCCCCTTTTTTGATCCCATTCCCCACTCCACCCCCACAGAATGTCTCCCCCTTATTTTTAAAAAATCAGTTTTAGGGGACGCCCTAGTGGCACAGAAATTAAAATCTCAACATTATCAAGCTATTGGCAGCCGCCGAGGCATGAGTTCAATCTTAAATGCACATTGCTAAATGAATAAAGTCAATATGAAAAGGCTATGTACTATATGTTTTCAAAGACAGCATTCTGAAACAGATGACACTATGGAGATAATAAAAAGATAAGTGGTTGCCAGGGGCTTGGGAGAATAATAGGAGGATGGGGTGAATAGGTGGCATTTGGGGAGTTTTTAGGACAGTGAAACTGTTCTATATATTTTATACTGGAGACATGTCATTATACATTTTTCAAAATCCACAAACATACAGTACAAAAAAACCCTAATGTAAATTTATAGGTTTTGGTGGATAATGTTGACAATATATAATGATACTAAGATGATAATAATAAGCCATGTAGAAATTATACTTTTAGCTTAATTTTGCTGTGGATTTAAAAGACTAGTAAAATAAAATCAATTAATCTAAAAATCAAAAAATATTTCAACATCTAACATATAAAACATAGGCTCCAAATCACATTTTCGGCTTCCCTGAAACATCAGTTTTAGTAGCTCCATGCCAACCAGCTGGCTGGATCTCCCTTGGGGATGGTGCCCACCTGGCTAATTTAGTTTTTCTCATGCATTGCTACCCTGACCTTGGAAGCACTGTAGTTTGAGACTCACTCTAGATCAATCCTTCCTGCCCCCCTGCATCATCACAATGTCTGGGGACATTTCTGGTGGTGATAACTGAGGTGTGCTACCAGCATCGAGTTGAGGTCAAGGATGCTGTGAAACATGGTAAAATGTACAGGACACTGCCACCCCCCCCCTGCAGGGAGTGATGTGGCTCTTACTGTCACTAGTGCAGCCACTAGAATACATTACCTCGCAGAGCCCAATCTTATCTGGGGAACCAAAAAATACAGATGCCACCCCCAGCAATGCTGATTTAAATGATGGAGGAGAGGAGCACACTGCCTGGACAAGAGATTATTTTTTAAAGCTCCTTGGGTGAATCACTGTTTAGTCATATTTGAGAACCATTGGTCTGGGAGGTTCTTCGGAAAGGTCAGGGCTCAAGGCATCCAGGACTGTCATTCATTTATCCATTCTGCCACTCATTCTTTCAGTCATACAGGTTTCCTCCTTTTTTTTTTTTTTTTTTTTTTTTTGCTCAGGGTAGGGGTCCTGGTGGTGAGGCAGACCAGAACCTCCTGGTCATATAAGGAACTACAGTTTTAAAGAATACCTACTTCTTTCACTCCATCATTTCTAGAATGTTAGCATCCTTACTTAAAGGGAACCATGTTCAAATCATTCTCATTTAGCTGGTTTGGGTAGAGAGCTTGGCATTCTCCATTTCTCAGAAGCTCTCAGGGGTGTCAGATGTTGCTCACCTAAGGACCTCACTCTGCTTTATCCTCATTTAGGTGTCTTACACTAACCTGGCCCAGAAAATGTTTGTATCCCAGAAAAGCTCTTTCTGTGGCTTAAAAATGATTGTAGGCCCTCCCTGGTGGCGCAGCGGGTTGGAGCGCAGCACTGAGAATCTGAAGCCACTTCCGCATGAGTTCGATTCCGCCTGCCGCCTGCCCCGGAGGAGACCACATGGCGAGCCAGACCTCTCCTGACCCGCCCGCTGCTCCCCTCAGCAGTGTACTTCGTCCATCTGCCTGTTCTGCTCCCCACTCTGTCTCTGGTGAAGCCTCTCACCGTCCCTGAGCCTCTGGCCTATACCCCAGTTCTGTATGAATAAATAAATAAATCTTTAAAAAAAAAAAAATGATTGTAAATACCTCACAGGTGTCCTTAGTCCAGGCCACTGACAAATCCTCACTATGGCCAGGAAAGAGAGTCCCAGTTCACAGATGAGTAAACTGAAGCTCAGGGCAGAAACAGCATGGTGTTTGCTCAGAGTTATAGGTAGAACTGACTCCCAATTTGGAGATTTTTGTCTTAAAAACAGCGTGGCCCTCGGCTTGAGAGTAACGCACAGAAGGGCTCTGTGTTCAGCTTAATTTCCTGCTCTCACTGCTTACAAAGTCTTAACTTCTCCACATGGAGCCCTGCAAATTTTGAAGCGGGTCCTGCAATCCAATGTAGATTCTGAATAGAGTTCTTAGAACCTTTAGAGGTTCAGCAGACGTGCCAAACCAGTGCAGTCCAATGCCTCCCATTTAAGGAGAACAAGTCCCCCAGAACAACAATTGTAGTGATTGATTCTTGGGATCAAGCAGACCTAGGTTATAATCTACCAGGTCTTAGATAGCAGGCTCACTGCATATGTAAATTAGCTGAGCCTCTATTTCCTTCTTCCCTATTTGCAAAAGGAGGGGGCTGAATGGGGCAGAGGTTTTCAACCTAGATAGCACATTGCCTTCACTGGGGGACAGTAGCTTGAAGTATGAATGTGCCAGAGTGTCCCACCCCAGATATTTTGACTCATTTGGTTTAAATGGCCCCAGGAAACCCTGCTATGTAGGTAGGTTTGAGAACCACCAAGCCTTTTCAAGCTTCAGTCCAGTCCAGATGATTTACTATTTCACTCAAGAATGTTCCAACCATTGCAAGTTCCTAGCCAATCTAGAGATCTTTCTCCTTCAGACACTTGTGTCCTACATCCCTATAGGGTTTCTACCCCTCCATGATTGCTGGGCTCTGTATGTACCCAGGGGACTGGATGGTGCCACCAGGAAATTGTCCCCAGATGGAAAAAAAACCCTGCATTCATGAGAACACAATACAAAGCTTATTTTGCTGCAAAGCAAAGTAACTGTGTGTGCTCCAGAATAGCTTTTAAAGATATAGACTATAGCATGTGGAAAGGCAATGGAAAGGCAAAAGTAAAAGGGAACCAAGATGCTTTGCAAGCAGGGTATACGCCTACTTGCATAAGGTTGTGGGTTTATATCCACAACTGCAGGGCTGTAAGAACATACAACAGAGGTGCCTAGAAAGGGGGCTACCTTGTCAACCGTGATTACCACTTTACTCTTTGATTTTTTTAAATAAACATGAGTATCTATTTTTATCACCTGGGGTGGGGGACGCTAATTCCATTCTGAGAAGAGATTATAGAAATAATTTACATATAAGTATGGGCAAGTATCACAAAGTTTCAGGGTGACTGATGTTTCTTTTAAAGTGAAATTCTCTTCTCCATTTAGCTTGTCAGTGTACTGGAATAATTCAAATACTAGGCAGATGAACAAGAAACATTCTCTGACCTTGTATAAAAATAGAATTCATTCTAAGAAGACCATTAGCCAGCATTTCAAAAATGGCTTTTAAACAAAAATTTTTAAAAATTCCATCATCCCGTCTGTGATTCCCTATGAGGGTCTGAGCTGGTAGTTGGATGCTGACCCCAATTCACCTTGCTGGAGGGTCAGCTCTGCTCAGTTAAGTGGAAAGGATCGGGCCAGGGTTGGAAGGATTCCCCACTGCCCTGCCGGCTGAAGGATGGGAGGGGAGGCTATCCGGTGGCCGGAGCAGGGAGGGGGGCACCAGTATCACTGTCTCTGAACCTAACCCCCGCACGACCGGCCCTTATATAGACACTCAGCTGCTGCTCTCGCTGCGCGCCAAGGGCAAAAAGAGAGGTCACGACTGAGGGCGCCCAGGACGTCTGGCACGGACCACCGACTGCGCCTTTACCACACTGTATGACCGTGGCCCTATTTCTGAGACCCTCCCGCCAGGACCCCCGGCATTCTCTCCCTCCCCCACTCCTCAGCACCTGCTCCTGCAGCTTCCCTCCAGCTCGCATCTGCTTCCCTTCCCCCAGCCCCACCATCTCAGGGGCTCCCGCCGCCCCCGTTTGGGAGAACCTCCAGATTCCAGCACCTGCCTGCTCTCCCGCACAAGTCACTGGTCCTACCACCCTTGCTCCAGGGCTGCTTCCTCTTGAGCGCCCCTCTACCCTTCGGGTTCGCCCCCGCCCCCAGCGCAGCGATGCTAGTCTCCGCCAGCCCCTGGCCCCTGGCTCACCTGGCTCATACTTGAGGTAGAGAATGGAGACGATGAAGTAGCTGAGGTCAAAGACAGGGAAGAGTGGCACCCGCGAGAAGCTGAGCGCAAGCTCGCCTAGGCTCAGGGCCGAGAGCAACTCCATTGCGCTCCGCGGGTCCCACCCTAGACCCCAGCCCCGTGCGTCCCGCAGCCCGCCGCCCGCCGACTGGGCCCCCGCCGCGGGAACCGCCCCCACCCGCCAGGCACCGCCCCCAACCCAGCCCCCGCGGAGGGGAGGGGCGACCGCCAACCCCTGCGGGTCGTGGGGCCTTCAGTTCCCCGGAGCCTGGTGCCTGAGAATCCCACCTTCGTCCCTCTAGCCATCCCGCCCCCATTCACCCAGAGAGAGGGAACACGGTGGCCTTGTGGATTGTGTTGGGGGAGCATTCCATTAGGAAAGGGGTCTTTTTTTGCACGAGCCCGCCCTGGAGGGAAAGATCAGACAGGACCTGGTCCTGGTGGGCTCGGTTGGACCCCCAAGTCCTCTGCGAAGCACTTGGATTGGAACCTCCGTTTCTTGAGGGGCCCCATTCCGTCCCCTATGGAAACGCCCAGGGGACTCTTGGGGTCCCGATCTAGTCTAGCAGTGATTCCTGCTTCGCCTGGAGTCCAGGAGGACCCCCTTCCCCTTTGAAACCCACTAATTTAGAGAATCTATGCCTGAAGGACTCCACTGCTTCAGGACTGTACAGCTCAGTGGCTAGTGGGCCAGATTTCTCTAAAAGCCCCGTAGGAGGGGACTTCCCTGGTGGCGTAGGGGGTGAAATCTCAGCGCTGTAAAAGCTATCCTTAGCGGCCTGACCAGGGAGTGACCCACATGGAACTAACCCACATGGCATAGCAGACCTCTCCTGTCTAGCCCTGCTCCTCTCAGCAGTGTATTTCAGTGGACCCGCCTGTTTTACTCTCCACTGTCTCTGGTGAATCCTTTCCCCAGTTCTTGTATGCATAAATGCATAAATCAGTAAAGATAAACCTTTTTTTTTTAAGCCTTGTAGGAGACCCCAGCTCAGCAGTATGAACAGCTGCCTAGCTCGGAACCTATCCCTGTGGTCCCGCCCCTTTGGGACGAGCCACATGCTTGCCCCGCCTGTTCTTCGCTGAGCTCCGGGCCGCCCCAGAGGGAGGTGCTCTTCCCTAAAGGGGCCTGGCCCGCGGAAACTGGGACTCTCTTGCCTCCACCTCTGATTGGCCCAGGCGTCGCCAGTTCTGTTTGGAGATTTGTTGACAAGAGCTTCTCAACCCGCCCTTCCTGGGACTTCCGCTTCCGGTGCTGACGGACGTTTCGGGCGTAACGATGATCGGGGACATCCTGCTGTTCGGGTAATTAGGGGTACCAGAGGCTGGGACGAGAGGGTTCGACGGTGGGGGGCGACCCAGGTAACCACATTCTGCCTTTCCAGGACGCTGCTGATGAATGCCGGGGCGGTACTCAACTTTAAGCTGTGAGTAGGCCGCGCCCGACCGCGTCTCCACCCGGGGGCCCCGTAGGCCCGCCCCCGCGAGCGTGAGCCCGCCCCCCGCCGCAGGCCCCTCCCTGGCCCCGCCTCTAACACGTTCCGTCCTCCCACCCCCTTGTCCTACGTCATAGGAATTTAAATCGCGATTCTCATTTTCCACGGAGTTCCTCTGCTTGCGGCGAGCCTGAGTCCCACCCCCCAAGAAATTCCTAACCCCACCTCGCAGCTCCAGTTTCGGCTGTCTTGGGCCATCCTGTCCTCCCTTTCTGCGGGCTTGGCTGTGATAGACGGGGCAGGTGGTGGCCCAGAGAGGGGCATTGAACTGCCCGAAGTCACACAGCAGTTCAGTGGCAGAGCTATATAGTTGAAGCTGAGAGTTCACGGCTCCCTGAGTTGAGGGTCGGGGCGACAAGACTGAGTGGTTTTTATTGAAAGTGAATGCTGTTTGTTCCTCTTTGTAGGAAAAAGAAGGACACTCAGGGCTTTGGGGAGGAATCAAGGGAGCCCAGCACAGGTAAGACCTGCTTTCTGGACTCTGGGATTGGTCCAGTTCAGAGAGGATAATGCACTCAGCAGTTGTCTTTTTGACTGTGCATTTGTGTCTGTGCACATGTGTGCGTTATGAGTCTGAGGATATGTCATTCCTTCTGCCCACCTCTCTTCCCTTCTCCTACCAGCCCTCCCCAATAGATAATACTACTGCTTACAATTATTATTTTCCCTTATGTATGGTATCATCTGGCTAAAACGGTGCCTTACACTTGACCACATGCTACCAAGAAAAGGGCTGGACTTGTTTGGGCTCATCCTTGCGTCTCTGCACTGCCAGAACTCTAATACAAGTGAGTGAATGAGTTGAATGAGTGAGTGGCATCTGTTGATGCTCCAGAGTTTATGGTCTGTATCTCATCCCAGCACCAACCTCCTCATTTTTGTATCCCCTCACTGGCTGACCTCTTGAGGCTCTGTGATGTGTGATTTCTGTTGAATTTATTCATGTGATTATTTGGAATCTAATGGGACCTGTAAATGACTAGTATACTTTCAGTCATTCACCAACCAATGAATGAATTGGCTATGGGCTGGCCACTGTGCTGGATCCTGTGGATACCACTAAGAACTTGGCAGATAAGATCTCTGCCTTGTGAGTTGTACTGCCATGGGATGGGCCATACAGTACAGGAAGAGATGTTTGATGAGGTGGTGGTTGGATTGCTGTCCAGGCTGGACTATGTAGAGGAAGGTGCTCTGAGGAAGTGGTGTTGTAGCGAAGGTGGTGAGAGCTGTGAGGGATGCATGAGGATGACAGCAGCAGTTTGCATAACAGTTCCCTACCTCTTTATTGGGGGCTGTGCTGGTGACTATGTTATTAGTTGCTTCCTGTGGTTATTTCATTCCACCTCCACCCCTAAAAGTTTAGGGGCCTTTTCGCATTGACACATGAGGAAGTTGAATTTCAGACATGTGGCTAAACTCGCTTAAGGCCACACAGCAAGTCAGTGACAGCATCACTATGGAAACTTTGATTTCTCTGATCCTAGAGATCATACTCTTAATCATCATTAGGCATTCGGTCTGTTGATTCATTCATATGTTTATTCAGCAGCTTACCCTCTCTGTGGGAGCATGTACTAGGCCCCACTTACCCTCTCTGTGGAGCATGTACGAGGCCCCAGGACTGCTATCTACAAATCTGAATAGGAGATATGGTAGGAGGTTGGGCATGAAATGGTAGGGTCATAATGATAGAGATGACCAAAATGGTGGTTGTGCCCTGACCTGGGCCTCTCTGGCTTGCATATTCTCCCTGGAGACTCCTTCCAGTCACAGTTCTGTACCTGCTGTCTGTTACAACCTTTCCTTCTGTCTGCTGCTGGCTCCTAATACTGTAGTGGCTGTGGTTGTTGAGCATTCCTCACATGTGGGCTCCATGCTAAGGTCTTCCCAGTCCCACGTCAACGTCACCCTCATTTATACAGTAGGATACTGGAGTGTAGACAGCTCAGAGATTGACCCAGGGCACATGTGTAGATGGACAGTAAACTCACCATTTATGTCAGAACTTTTACTTGCTCAGACACTTTTGACTCCACTTGCTAACCAGGTGTTAGGTGGGTCCCCCCCAGGATATGTTCCCAAGGTACTCTTGGGGGGCTAGTAATCACACATGTAGTGATGCTAGTATTTTCTTCCCTGTGAGCTCCTTAGAGCAGGAATACCTCTCTGATACCTCCCTGGGTCCCCTTGTATTTGGTGGCTATCAAGAATGAGTGGCCTTCACTCAGTACCTGTTGATGACAGGAGAGCCTGTTTTTGAGACCTAGGGCTCAAGAGATGGGCCTTGCTGAGTAGCACCTCTCAGATATCCTGGAGACAGTTCTGGCCTGATATTTTCAGACTGTCCTGGGTTAGTATTTAGCAAGTTGTACTACTTGAGACTGACTCCATAGGTTGGACGATATCAGACACCTAAGCCAGGTTTAGAAAGATAGTTAGGTCCCTCCCTGATGACACAAAGGGGTAAAGCTCAGTACCATTTACAGTCACTGTAGCAGGAGTTCCATCGCTGATCAGGGAGGTGACCCACATGGCAAACCGCTTCTGTCCCACCTGCTCCCCTTAGCACTGTATTTCAGTCAGTCTACCTGTTCTGTTTCCCACTTTGTCTCTGGTGAATCCTCTCAACCCGCCCTCCCCCCTGCACCTCTGAATTGTACCCCAGTTCTTGTATGCATAAATAAATCGATCTTTAAAAAAAAAATAGTGAGTGCACTTGGATGTGTAACTGAATCAGGTGGCTGTCACTTAAGGTTGCTGTGAAAGTTTCTGAGTTAATGTGTGATATTCCCTCCTTAGGAGACAGCCCCAGTCTATATACAGCTCCTTGGGTAGCGGCCTGTGGATCATCAAATCTGGACCCATACATATCATTCTGGAGGCCTGAAGGGGTGAGGGGGATGCTCAGAGGAAGGTTCTGTAACCCAGTTCTTTGGCATCTTAACATATCAGGCACTCTCTCTCTCACACACATACACACCCCTCCCATTCCCAGAGGTATTTTGGGTTTGATTCCAGAGCACTACAATAAAGCAAATGTCACAGTCAAGTGAGTTCTACAACTTTTTGTTTCACCAGCCTATAAAAATCATGTTTATATTATACTGGAGTCCATTAAGTATGCAATAGCATTATGTATAAAAAAATCTGCATATCTTAATTAAATATAACAGGCATGAAAAAGTATGTACTGCTGGAATAACAATCCCCAAAAATTTACTCAATGTGGATTGTCACAAACCTTCCATTGGTAAGAAATGCAGTATCTTCAAAGCACAATAAAGAAGAACGATAAAAGGAGGGTATGCCTATACCAAATTGCCTTCTCTTAGAGGATTTCTGTTCCTTGGCATTATAGGAGTTCAGAGTAAGCCATCATCAGAGCAAAGCTCCCAGGGTACTTGACTGAATTAGGATGCTTTTTCAGTTGCACACGTGGAAACCTAGTTCAGGGTCAAGCACATTGAAACTTGCAGGAGTGGATTGTCCTCAGCATACCTGGATCCAGCGTCCCATCCTGTGAGCCTCACCAGCTCTTTTTTTGTGTTAGTTTTACTGTCAGCCTGACTTACATTACCATGGAGGCCTCTACAGCAGGGGTTGCACATTTTTCTGTTAAGTGCTAGTTGTAATTTTTTTTAGACTTTGTGACTATGCAGTCTCTGATAGAACTTCATAGCTCAAGTAGCCATGGATAAAATAAGGATGAACAGGCATGGTTATTTTCCAATAAAATAACATGGTTATTTTCTATTACATTTGGATTTCATGTAATTTTGGTATCTCTCAAAATAGTCTGTTGCTTGTTTTCTTTAATCACTAAAAACCATTCCTAGCTTGCTGGTCATACTTATATGTGGCAGATGGCAGGGGCTGCCTTTGGCCCCAGCCTGTAGTGCGCCACCACTGCCCTAGAAGGTTGGGCTTCCAGCTCAGCAGGAAGCAGGAAGTTGTTGAGGCAGAAGTCCCAGGGCTGACTCTCACTGGGTTTACCTGCCCCTCCCCCCCCCCCCCCCCCCCAGCCTATCAGGCGGGAGGGTGAGGTCTGGTCTATCATCACCAGCCTGAGTGCTGGGGGTGGGGACTGGAAAGACTGAAAGGGAACCAGGGGCAGTGGGTGCAGGGTAGGCACAATATAGCTGTGAAATCAAAATATCAGTCATGCTATAAAGTTGCGTTCTGACTTTCCAGGGGACAACATCCGGGAGTTTTTACTGAGCCTCAGATACTTTCGAATCTTCATCGCGCTGTGGAATGTCTTCATGATGTTCTGCATGATTGTGTAAGTCTGACCTGCCCCTGCCCTTCCTTGTCACTCCCGCAGCAGCCTTCTCCAGATCAACCCATCACATGGTCATTATCTGACTTCTCAGTCTCAGCTATTGTGTGATGCATCATAGTAAGAACTGCCCAAGCTGGGGAGGAATTTGGGGTCTGCAGGGATTAAGCTGTGTTCTTATAGCCCAGGTGGAGCTCAGACTGGAACATGGGGTTCACATACCTGGTTCTGTCTGGCACCTCAGTAGGGGCTACCAGGAGGTTCCTTCCCGGAGCCCGTGGCCCTGTCACTTCTTGCCAGCATATCCTAGGCCTCTGCCAATGTTGAAACTGGCTGGAATGGTCAACTTGCTGCTGTGCCTTTCTCCCTTCCTGAAGAAAGCAGCAGAGGTGTATTTGGACCTTATTTCATTTTTATGCCAATTTTTCTATATTTAGACTAAGGAAATTAAATTAGATTGGTTCTCCTTCCAATGTCAGTGATAGAAGGTGGGCCTGGTGTTTTCAGCCATGCTGGGCCCATCTGCCTGTGCTTTCCCCAGAAAGGAAGAGAATAAAAGGTCAGTACTTCTGAATGACTGAGACACTGAATTTGGGGGTGCTGCGCTGTCCTTGTGCCATCCTAGCAGAGGAGATGATTCTAGAACTTTAGGTGCTTAGAGGAGGAGGGTTTCACTGTCCCAGTGGGGAAGGTTTCTGTGATGTATGTCCAGAGAGGCCCTTTTTTAAGAACTCAGATGAGGCCCAAGTACAAAGAGGTTCATGAAAAGACCAGGGAATTTGCAGGAAGTCTAACTGGAACTCCCATGAGGAGGTTGGCCTAGGTCAGAGATTAGCATGTTTTCCTTAAAAGGCAGACAGTAAGTAGTTCAAGCTTTACAAGCCAGGCTGACTATGGCGCAATTCCTCAACCTTGCTCTGTAATGCTAAAACAGTCACAGATGTGGGCATGGTTGTATGACAGTAAAACTCCAGTCACAAAACAAGCAGCAGGTAATCTGACCCTGGGGCTGTGGTGTGCTGACCCCTGACCCAGTAGTCATTCTGGAGTCAAAAATCCCCAGCCTGGGTGAAACCAAGTTAGACCACTGAGACTCAGCTCCCAGGAAACAAAATCAAGACTTGGGCTACTGACTGGTTGGCCTTAGGGAGCCAAGCTGGGTGGTCACAGAGCCTGAGTCTGCCCCCTGGTTACAGGCCAGCAGATGAGTAATGAGACAAGATATTCAGACAAGGTAGAATGATTAAAGTAGTTGTGCAAAAAAACCAAAAAAAACAATGTAGTTCACATGTCTGAGGGTCTTCACTGAACCGTTCTTTTAACTGGTACAGGTGTTAAAACCTTCATTACAAGATATTGGGGTGGTGGGCAAGTACTGAGAAAAAAAATCAAACCTTAAAGAAGGGTTTACAGGTAAATAGTGGAAGTAGGTCTTCATAATTCAATCTTTTTGTAGTATATTCAGAAGGTTGTATCATCTAGTTCCAGAACATTTTTATTACCTTGATGGGAAACTACATACCTATTAAGCAGTCACTTCCCATTCCTCCACTTCCTTACCTCTGGCAACTACTCATTGACTTTCTCTTTCTGGGTGTGCCTATTCTGGACATCTCATGGCAATGGAATCCTATATGGCCCTTTTTTTTTTTTTAAAGATTTATTTATTTATGCATACAGAGCTGGGGTACAGGCCAGAGGTGCAGGGGCAGTGAGAGGATTCACCAGAGACAGAGTGGAGAGCAGAACAGGCAGACTGATGAAGTACACTGCAGAGGGGGGCCGTGGGAGGGTTGGGAGAGGTCTGCTGTGCCATGTGTGTCACCTGGGTGGGGATCGAATTTGCCCTGAAGTGGCTGTAGCCAGCTTTGTAGTGCTGCACTTTAACCCTTTGTGCCACCAGGGAGGGCCATACATGGCCTTTTGTGTCTGATTTCTTTCATCCAACACTCCTTGGTGCTTCGATGTTGTAGTGCATATAGGTATTCTGTTCCCTCTTGAGGTGGAATAAATATTCCATTGTATAGATTGCAGTAGTTTAGAGGCCTCCCTGGTGGCCTAAGGGTTAAGTCTCAGCTCTACCACTGGGAAACCTACCACAAAGACCTGAGTTCAAACCCTGATCAGGGAGCTGACCCATATGGTGCAGCAGACTTCTCCTGTCTTATGTGCTGCTCCGGTCAGCAGTATATTTCAGTTAATCTGTCTCATCCCCCACACTTCTGACTGTACCTCAGTTCCTCTATGCAAAAATAAATATAATTAAAAAAAAAAGTAAAAAGGATTGTTTAAAATTTAAAAAGTTTAGATATGCCACAGTTTATCTACTCAACAGTTGATGGCTATTTGGGGTTTTCCATTTTTTGGCTAGTTGAGTAATGCTGATATGAATATTTGTATATAGGTTTTTGCAGACCTAAGTTTTGCATTCTCTTTGGTATATGCCTGTCAGTGAAATTGTTGGGTCACAGGTAACTTTGTATTTATATTTAGCCTTTTGAGAAATTACCAGAGGGTTTTCCAAAGTAGCTATAGCAGTTTTCTTTCCCAGCAGCAGTGTATGATGGTCCCAAGCATCATTGTGTGTCTTTCATCATTGTCATTGTGTGTCTTTCTGACTATAGTTGTGCTAATGAATGCGAAGGTTCTGACTTAACGATTGCCTGGCAGATAATGATGTTGAGCATCGTTTCATGTGCTTGTTAGCCATTTTTGTATCATTGTGGGAATTACCTCTATACTGAACCTTGCCCATACATACAGCCCTTTGATTCAGTGTTTTTGCAGTCTTCAGGTAGATACCTAAGAGTGAAATTGCTGGATTATGTTAGTAATTCTAGTTTTAATATTTTGAGAAGCTTCTGTATTGTTTCTTATAGAGGGTAGACTAGTTCACCTTCCCACCATAGTATATGAGTTCCTGTTTTTTGCACAACCTCACCTTGTTTCTGGTCTTTTTGATATGGGCTATTCTCATGGGTGTGAGCTGTTATCTCATTGTGGTTTTGATTTGCATTTCCTGATAATAAGTGATGATGAACATTTTTCATGTGCCTGTTGGCCATCTGTCTATCTTCTTTGGAAAAGTATCTATTTAACTTTTTTGTCCACTTTTTGGGGGGAGGGGTCTTTGTTTTTATTTATTTTCACATCATTCTTCATTTTGTGCATTTATTCATTTCGGTAGTAATCCCCATGGACTTCCCACCACCACTTTACGCATGTGCCATCACCATAGTCCTGTGCGCTCTCCCCTTCCCAGTTTTGATCCTGTTCTCCTCTCCTCAGTGTCTCTGGTTCATACTTATTCATTATTTTTCTTTTTTTGAAGACTTATTTTTTATACATACAGAACTGGGGTATAGGCCAGAGGTGCAGGGGTGGTTAGAGGATTCATCAGAAACAGAGTGGGAAGCAGAACAGGCAAACTGATGAAGTACACTGCTGAGGGGAGCAGTGGGCGGGTCAGGAGAGGTCTGCTGCGCCATGTGGTCACCTCCAAGACCAGGGATCGAACTCATGCTGAAGTGGCTTTAGCTTGTTAGTGTTGTGCTTTAACCCGCTGTGCCACCAGGCAGGGCCCTATTTTTAATTTTTACTTTATTACAATTGCTTTTTTTTTTTTAACCCCCAATCTCTTATGCTCCTGCTATCAGTGATACCATCTGATATTTTTCTTTTTCTTTCTGGCTTATTTCACTAAACTTTCCAGCTCTATCCTGGTTGCTTGCCCATTTTTTGATTGGGTCATTTTCTTGTTGTTGAGTTGTATGAAGACTTTATAGATCTTGGCAATTAATCCCTGGTTGGATGTGATATACAAGTATTTTCTCCCATCCAGTAGGGTGTCTTTGTTTTAATGAATTTCTTTCACTGTGTATTTTTGCTTTTGTTCTCCTGTCCATTAACAGTTAAATCACCAAAGACATCACTGATGCCCCTGTTGGTGACCTGTTTTGTTTTTGTATTTTTCTTCTGTATACTTAGGGTTTCAGGTGTTAAACCCAAATCATTTTGAAATTAATTTTCATGTGTGGTATGAGATCGTGGTCTGGCTTGATTTGTTTGTCCCACACTTTACTGATAGTTAATTTATGACAAAGGAGCCAAAAGTATCAAAGAAGAATCTTTTTAATAAATGGTATTAATAAAAGGTATTAATACCATTAATAAAAGGTATCAATACCATTTATTAAAAAGATTCTTCTTTGATACTTTTGGCTCCTTTGTCATAAATTAACTATCAGTAAAGTGTGGGACTCACAGTTCTACTCTATTGATCTGTGCATCTACTTTTATTCTAGTACCATACTGCTTTTAATTACTTTTGCTTTGTAGTGTAATTTGAAGTCTGGGAACATTACTAGGATTTACTTTGGAGACCTGTTTTTTTGGTCAGGGTTGCTTTGACTCTTTGGGATCTTTTGTGGTTCTTTCCCAGATTTTCTTCATGAACAGAGTTAAGTCAAATCATTTGTTTGCTCAGAGGCTTTTTTTTAATTTGTGAAGGATGCCACTGGCTTACAGTAGTAGAAAAAAAGGCTAAAATGTTACACATTTTTATGAAGTAAAATTTTTTCCTGGTACTTCTTAAGCTCCTTTTGTTTTTGTCTTTGTTTCTATTGATTTTTTTTCCTTTTTATAGCCACCTTTAAAAAAGTTTTAAGCATACTGATCTGCAATGATAAGTGTACCCACATTCTGGTGTAACAGAAGAACTCAAAATATATGTAAAGTAATCGTAATAGTGGTAGCATGAAGTCTTTTTTAATGCTCTCAGAGTATTAGCTTCCCACCCTCATGGACGTTTCTGCTGTCTGACTTTTCTATTCTAGGCTATTTGGCTCCTGAGCTGCAGATGTGGATCCTGGAACACACCTTCTCAGATGTCAAGTCTCTGTTCCTCCATCCCTGGTGACTTTAAGAATGTTTTTAACTGGAAAACCAGTGACCTTCCCAGAAAGCCCAAGCTTGTGGTGGGTGGAAAATGTTTACCAAGATGCACATGGCCTCCCAGCCATGTCACTGTTTTCTTTTTAAAGATACTTTTGCTTTAGCCTCAGCATTGAAATGCTGTCTCCTTAAGTTGTTTTGGGGTTTACTAGAGGGCTGTGAAGATACTGCCTTCGCAGATAAAAGGACATGCCTAGAGTGTTTCATTGAGTTGGAGTCTCTTTTCTATCAGACTTCTACACGAAACCTGTTTCTGGATATTTCTGGGTTTATTTTGAAGAACCATCCTTTTGGTTTGAATTATACAGATGTTTAAAAACCATTTCTTCCCCATCCCTACAGACTCTGCTCAGCCTGTGGGTGCCAATGAGGTTGCCCCAGGACTTTCAAGGGTGAAAAATGACCGGTTCCCACTGAAGATGAGTGCAGAACCACTGGTGGGGTGGATGGCTAATATGAGAAATTTTGCTTTGAAGTTCTCTGTTAAATAAAGTAGCTTTTGAGACCTTTATTATTGTACAGTTGATAGAATGAGAGTGATTTCGTGGTGATATTGGGATCAAATTTGAAAAGTTGGGTTTGTGGGTCTGCTTTTCAAGTGGAGGATCTCAAGATTGAAAACAATGAGTGTCATTCAAGGTAATAGTGTTTTTCATAGAAATTCTCTTTGAAAGGGAATGCTTGGTTTAATTATCAAGATGGAATGACCACTGGCTGGTTGTACCCAGATCCCAAGGGTATTTGGTTGGTTGGTTTGTTATGGTATTTGAAATCTTGACCTGTAGGTAAACCTATGGGAGAAAAAAGTAAATATGAAGACTTTTCTAACTAAATACACTGAAAATAAAGCCCATTTCTTAAAAATGGACCTTTTGTTTATATATTTTTTTAACCAAGATGTTGATTTTCAACTTGAATCGTTCTGAATTACACTGTGGGGAACACCTTGGATTTACTTTGGAGGCTGTGAATACGTCAGAAATGCAGCAATGTTGGATATTCCTTTTTGGATTTCATTCAAAAAGGTCAAGTGGGATTTGGGCAAATATGACTTTGACTGGTTGTACTGGAAGTATTAAAAGAGCCAGTTACAGTGATTGGGACTTCGCCAGATCAGAGTCAAGTCCTCTGGTACTGCTACTCAGCTACCATCATTCTCCTTTGCTGCTTCTATAGCTTATTCACATGATGTGTAAGTGATGGCATGTCTACTGGTCAGAGCTACTTTGCCTAGGTCCTTGTCAACTAGAACCAAACTGCCAAGATGTTGGCTGCTCAGGCTCATACATGCAAGTAGTGTGAAGAAGTTGTGCAGCCTTCTTCAGACCGCCCTGAGGTCTCAGTGAGGCAAGACGTTTGAGTGTGATGGGGCTGGTTCGAGCTCTGAGAACAGAATGCAGCATTGAGGTTTTATGTCAATAGTTAGATTTTTCTGCAGAGAACTACTATCTCAATCTTAAGTTCTTATAAGCAGGGACCTTTGGGGGTACACATTAGAGGCTGGTGGACCTTTTTAAACTTGTAGCTCATGGGCATGTGTTTTTGGGAAGCTTTTAATAAGCCCTGTTGGCACCAGAGGTGATGGAATTCTTGATTTTTTTGAGTGTGTGGTGTGTTTGGCATTTAAGCACTTATGTCCTGGGTCACTTAGATGTGGGTTCAGATCTCATCTCCTTGCCTTGCTGGTGGAACTGTGGTGGGTTGCTTCCCCTCTGCACACTTCAGATTGCATGCATCTTAAGTGGCATGAGTCATGCCTGGGGTCATTGCTCCATGCCTGGGGGTATCCTCTTCTCGCTGACATTTTTTCTTGCCACTAACTCACACGCTGTGAAAGCTGTCATGGCATTTAAAATAACTGGAAACAGTTTCCAGCATGGATAACCTTTTCCTACTTCTTTCCTTTTCAGCATTCCCTTTACCTGTTTGCACTACATGTTCTGATAGTGGATAAGGCAGTTTGGGCTCTGTGATCTTCATTTCAGCGTCATAGCCTTTGTATTTTCTGGGCTGCCAGAGCGCTTTCATGGTTCGCCTTTTAATCCTGTGTGGCACCAATAAATGTTTCTTTGACCTTGGCCCTGTGGCTGGGCTGAGCTTGTACGTTATAAATGCAGCTGTTGCCAGCATTGTAACTTTTGCTGGTTTCCCTCAAGGAGTACCTGGGAAAGCTACATCTTACATCACTCTTGTGGCTTGTGGTTTTAACTCATTTTACTAAGTCTCTTACTACCAATGCAGGTTTGTTTTAGAAAAATTAGAAAATGCAGTTTTGTTTTCAGGGAAAAAGCCATCCTGTACCTCATAAAGCTTTCCTCTTGGTGCACATCTTTCTCTTTCTGTGTGCACATGCACTGGCACATGCACTGGGTATGGTACTTACATTGTCTTTACACACAGTATTTTTTTTTTAAATCTTCTAATCAGCTTTTTTCATCTGATAATGACGGTATTTCTATATTTTTTCCTGAACTGCCTTTGTTTAATAACTGCAAATAAGCCATGGTAAGGCGGTATCAAATTAAGTTAGTCTTTCATTTGTTTTGTCTCCTCTTTTTGACTACTATAAATAACATAATGATGAACGGCTCATTATGTCATACCTAATGATTTCTGTGTGTGGGGGGGTCACTTTTTTTTTTCTTAAGATTTATTTATTTATGCATACAGAACTGGGGTACAGGCCAGAGGTGCAGAAACAGTGAGAGGATTCATCAGAGACAGAGTGGGGAGCAGAACAGGCTGACTGATGAAGTACACTGCTGAGGGGAGCAGGGGGTGGGTCAGGAGAGGTCTGCCGCGCCATGTGGGTCACCTCTGGGGTGGGGATCGAACTCATGCTGAAGTGGCTTTAGCTTCTTAGTGCTGTGCTTTAACCCGCTGTGCCACCAGGGAGGGCCCGGGGATTCACTTTTAAAAAGAGATCTTCCTTGACAGCTTTAGCATAAGAACCCCAAAGAGAAATGAATCTTGTGCAATTTAGATCCTTGTACTTTACTACTTCCTTTTTGTTTGTTCCTTTGTAATTATATATGTTTATACATACACTGAAAAATGTGGTTCTAGATTCCCATCAGTTTTGACTAGGAACAGTGTGAGGGAGTTAGGCCACTTCAGTTTTATCCTGTGAATGAGGACAAAGTTTTCAGCTCTGCCCAGATGACTGTTTCTCTGTGTAAGTGACAGCAGTTGATATATCACCAGTTGACTTTCCACTTTGGCTGTAACTACCATCTAGGTAATAAGTGCCCACAACTGTTCGCCCTTGAGCAGTTTCAGTGAAGTGGCTGCCCAGGCAAAAAGTCACATAAAGAACAAAAAGAAGACCGAGTTTGTAGCAACCTGCCCCAAAACCTTTGCTTTGGGGTTCATGAAACTCCCCTTTGCTTGTTCTGTCCTTGCTGTATCAAAAAGTAGAGCCCATCCCTGCCCTGGTTTCTCATTGTACTTCAGTTCCAGATGTTGTAGCACGAAGTTGAAAGCTATGCCCTCGCCTCCCTGGTGGCGCAGTGGGTTAAGCAGCTATGAGGCTATTGGCAGTTATTACAGCAAGAGTTTGATCCCTAGCCAGGGAGCTTGCCCACATGGCACAGCAGACATCTCCTATCTCACCTGCTGCTCCCCTCAGCAGTGTATTTTAGTAGATTTGCATGTTCTGCTCCCCACGCTGTCTCTGGTGAATCCTTTTGCCACCCCCCTATGCCCCCCCACCACATACACACCTTTGGCCTGCATTCCAGCGCTTATATACATAAATCAATCTTTAAAAAGAAAAAAAAGAATAAGAAAGAAGGCCCTCCCTGGTGGTGCAGTGGGTTAAAGCACAGCACTGTGAAGCTATCCAGACCCACTGCAGAGAGTTTAATTCCTGGCCAGGGACCTGATTCACATGGCACAGCAGACTTTTGACACTCCCCTGCTCCCCTCAGCAGTGTATTTCAGTCCACCTGCCTGTTCTGCTCCCCACTCTGTCTCTGGTGAATCCGCTTACCCTCCACACCTTTGGCCTGTGCCGCAGTTTTTGTATGCATGCATAAATACATACATCTTTTTTTTTTTTTTTAAAGAAAACAAGCAAGCTATGCCCTGCCAGCCTAGTTCAGCCCACTTCCTGTTTTGATTAATAAAGTTTGAATGGCACTCAGACATTCCCCCTTTTAGAACATATTGCCTATCATTACTTTGACTGCATTCATGCCATTGCAACAGAGGTTCTAAAGCTGAGAATATTGCCTATCTTGTCCATTATATGAAAAATTTGCTGACCCTAGAGCTAGGGGGTGGTGGAGGACCCCAAGGTGCTCCTCCCTGCAGAACTACCTAGGTAGAACCACTCTGTACCTTGTAATCTGGATTGTAACAAAGACATTTGCAAACATGTTTTTCAAACTTGCTGAAAATAGAGCTGGTCATTTTCAAGTGATGGTTAATAGACCAAACCTAATTTCATTTCTCTGGATAGTTAGGGGCATCATCCCTCCTGGGCTCCTGAGATTCTTCCTCTGGGTAGCAGCGATGTCTTAATGAGATCAGCTCTCATCTGAAGTGGTTAGATTTGAAAAGCCAGCCAGGCTGTCATTAGCAAGGCATTTCCTTTTCATTTTCAACCATTTCATTATCTCCTTCTTAACCAAACTTGAATTTATGAAATATTTGACAATTCTCCTTGATGTTTTCCTGCGTTTATGAAAAACATCCGAGGTTTGTGTATAAAACAAAAGACACTTTCTTTTAAAAGATGTAAATCCTACTTTGGGGATTTGTTTTCCCTATTCCCTTGATTTTCATTATTATGCAGAGAAAGCCCTTGATCCATTCTGAGCCCCTCTCTAGCACTTGAGAGTTCTTTGAAATGAGAGTTTGGTAATAGCAAGTGTTCCTGGATGAGAACTCTGCAAAGAGTCTGTAGCAAATTGGAAATTCAAAATCCACATATTTCAATTAAAAAAAAAAAACACAAGAGCTAGTCCAAGGTACAGCTCTCTGTGACTTTCTTTTCAACACAGGGGTCCTTTTGGGTTAGAAAAGGGATCAACAAACTGCCCCCACATTTGGCCTATCTAAGACAGCCCCATGAGATAGAATGACTTGTATATTGTTAAATGGTTGAAGATCAAGAAGGAAATTTAGGGCTTTTTTTTTTTTTTTTTAACATGGGTATAGGCCAGAGGTGTGAGGGTTGAGAGGATTCATCAGAGACAGACTAGGTGGATTTACTGAAATATACTGGTAAGGACAGCAACAGCCAAGATAGGAGAGGTCTGCTGTGCCATATATGTGTTAGCCCTCTGTCTGGGAACTAAGGCTGAGCTTAGGCAGTAATTGTCATAGTGATGAGACTTAACCCTACACCACTCACCATGGAGGCCAAATTCTATTTTCTTACCCACAAATCAGCTTCACTGGAATGCTTCCACTCCTGTTTGATTATGTATTGATGACCACTTCTGAGCTACAAGGACAGAATTGAGTCCTTTTGACAGAGACCATCTGGCCTGCAGAGCTGAACAC